ACTGCCGTCCACCTGAAAACCGTCTCCCAGGATACGGCGGACTCTGTGCCCTGGCTGACTACGAATTCCTATTTCCAGGGACGGTTTACGTAAGTCAGAATTAGATTCCTAAAAGTCTCTTAACTATACGACTTCCTAAGCTTTAAAGTATTTTGCATACTTCCTAAGGAAAATCTACAATAAAGACAAAGGTTTGGAATTTGCAGAGTCTAGCCCAGTTAAAAACAAGAGAGGCCGTAAGTGCCAGGACCTAACATATGTGTAAATTGTAAGTGGCACGTGTCCCTGTCGCACGCTTTTTCGGCTCCATTTGTCATAGATACATCCCATTTATGAGGTAGTCGGATTCCTCAGAGGTGATGGGACGAGCTTTCTTAAGTTTCTGTTTGACCAGTCGGAGTCGACAGGCAACCATGAGAAGCAGCAGGGCACTGATAGCCAATCCCAATGCCAGGGGGAGCACGGCACCTGTGGGAAGGTCGGAGGCAAACAGGAGGGGTCAGTGGTGAGTGCGGTGCCAGCTGCCGTTTCCCAGTGATGAGCACTTCCCCTGCACTGGTAGCCCCGGCCACCCCAGCTGGCATTAGCGTTACCACCGTTTCGCTAATGAAGGCACAGGGAGCTTGAGCAATCTGCCTAAGTGCAAAGACCGTAGGTCTCCAACCCAGACCTCTTGAAAACCAACCTCTTGCCCCAGGTTCCTCGAAGATTTGTATGGCACAAGCCCTCATAGGCAGCTCCAAATAGACACGCTGACCAGAGGGCCCTTTTCCATTGTAGGCGCAGGTTACATCTGCGGCTTCGTACATGATCCTTCTCTCTTTAAGTAGGGACTAATTCCCAATTTCCTATTCTAGTTAGGGCTTAAGGAACTTATTTTCTTTTTGCCAGGAAACCTACTCTCAGCAGGTAAAACCTCTGATGGAAGCTAACTTCAAAATATGCTGGCGTGGGGCCGGAGTTGTGGTGTAGCAGGTTCATCCCCATGAACGCCAGTCCCGATCCAGCTCTCTGCTAATGTGCCTGGGAAGCAGCGGAAGATGTCCCAAGTCCTTGGGTCCCTGCCACTCATGTGGGAGGCCCAGGTGTAGTAGTTTCAGGCTCCTGGCTTCAGCCTGGCCCAGCCCTAGCTGTTGCAGCCATCTCGGGAGTGGACCAGCAGATGGAAGATCTCTCCCTCTTTCTCTGTCACTCTGCTTTTCAAATAAAATCTTCAAAAAAACCAACCAAACAGACAAAACAAAACAAAACAAAAACCCAACCCACAAGATATGCTGGTGTAATTCTGGCCACGGGTAGTTAAAGCAAACCTCTGCCTCTTCCACTGGGGCTGGTCCTAGACACCGGACGATCAGTAGCCTCTCGAGGTTTGCAGGAGTGTGCGAAGGACAGGGTGTGCCCAGACCCGTCCTCCTTACTGAGTTCAGCAGGCTCTATTCTTAGTCTGCTGCCCTGTGGCAGGCCGGGTCTGGAATACGGGAGAGCTGTTTTTAGCTGCAGGGTCTTGCCAACTGGTGGAACTAGAGGAGTGAACTTCTCTACCGTGTAAGCTGACTCTAACGTTTTCTTTCATTTACTCATTCATTCCACATTAACCAGGATCCTCTGAGTGCACACTGAGCTAGGTACTGCTAAGCAAAGAGAATAAACAATATTTATTTGTCAATTAAAAGTAAGTAAAGAATCCCTCCTCCCCCCAAAAAGCCAATGCTAAGTGCCAGCTTTCTAGTTTAAAATCACTGAATTCTCACATATGAGCTGGTATTATTTATCATTATGTTTGCCAACGAGAGAGCTAAGACATCAAGAATTAAGTGACTTGACTGAGATTGCAGTGTGCACGATAGAGCTAGGATACCAGACAAGACAGCTCCAGAACCCGAGGTCTTAAGCACTGTGGTGCACCACTTCTCCCAAGTGTAAGGAGACTATCCCAGTAGGATAGACATCTAAATGGGAGACAATGCAGTAAGGCATCAGAATGAGCTACACAAGAAGCACAGGAGTGAAAGGAGTGGCCCTCCGTCTGCTCTGCAGGATTTTTGCTTGAGTGATCTGGATATTGTGATGGAACTGGTTGAGGTGGGTGAGGGAATAAGTTTTTTACATATTTTGATTTGAAATGCCTATAGATGATCCTTTGGAATCTTCTCCTAGGCTCTTGAATTATCAGACTAAGTGGTCCACCTTTATCATAAAGGTGGTGGGTGCAGCCACCCAGAGACAGAGGAAGAAAGGTCGTGGGAAACACAATATATCAAGGGCAAACAAGAGGACCAAAAGCAACAGAAAAACACAGGTCTGGAAGATAGCAGGACAAGCCAGACAGACTGGGGTCCTGGGAGAGACTAGTCCAGGCGGCAAGAAACTCAGTCGAGTCAGACGTCACAAGAGAGGTCAAGCAAGGTAGATCCCAGGGAGCCTGCTAGGCTTGGCAATTCACTTACAGGAGGCTGAAGATGGAGGGAGGCCCTCTTGCTTTTGGATACACTGAGAGCCATCTGGATGTGCTTGCAGCCATTGTAGGAATGAGCCAGGAGAGAAACAGATGGACAGCACGGGGGACTCAGTAGGAGGGTCAGAGTACCTGAGCAGAAAAGGGGCTCACAAGGTTGGGCAGACTGGCAAAGAGGGGGTGCCCTGTCCTTTAGTGCTGGAGGAAGAAGGTGAGAAGGGGACACACAGCGGGGTTTCTGCTTGTGGCTAGGTGACAGGAAACTCTCCAGATAGCCTTGATTTTCTGGGCTTAGCACTGGTTCCAGGCATTGCTGGCCTAGTCCAGAAGAAATGAGAACAGGCGCTGACAGTCTATGTGCGTTCCAACCTCTGGAATCACGGGTAAATCTCCTGCTCAGGTTCTCAAGAACTATTTGGAAGGGTCTGGGTGCAGGAAGTGGGCAAGTGGAAGCAGCTTTATTGACAGTTGGGTATCAAGGTTTTGGATGTGGCCAGTATTTCCCTAGAGAATCATGAAAGACAAAAATCTGTGATCAACCCTCAGGCTGGAACTTGATTCTAGAGCTGTCTTGTCCATTCCACAGACAGCAGCCCCTGGGAAGTGCCAAGAATCTCTGATTCGTTTCTCCATGCTAAGGTTTGGGAGCTTAGTAGCTAGCGTCATCTCCTAGCGACCACCCTAACGACAGCAGCTGTGAGGGCCTAAAGGTGCCACTCTCCCTCGGTCTTCCTGCACTAAGCTGGATATGTTACAAAGGAACAAACCAAAAGGGAGACCTCGGTCAGCCCTGCAAGAGCCCAGGAGCCTTAAACCATTTCTTAACTAAGTGAAACACAACACCCAGCCCAGGTCTGCTTGTTCAGGGCAGGAAACGGAGAAGGGGCTTCCAGACTTCAAAATGGGTCTGTCTGGTTCAAAGAAGAGTCCCAGTGTTTGGGCAGGCAGTGGAGGCTCAGAGTGAAGACCTCAACCCCAACTCCTGGGCTCAGATTCAACTCTCCTAACCCTAGACTCACAAGCAATAGATAAATAATCAAGGACAGTGTTCTGCCAAATCAGATATGAGGTCGCCAAGCCATCGAATCTGATTCCTTTAAGATATGAAAGAGGAACTCTTGCATACGGTATTTGCCAGAATATTGAAAACTATTGTCAACTCTTTAATACTTAGTTGGCGTAGTTTCTTCCAGGTTTTTAGTTTGGCTAGTTGGAGATTTAAAGTGTCCCAGCCCCCTCTACAACACACCATGATGGTATTCTCCTAACCAGCTAAGATGACTGAATCACACAGCCTGTCTCATGAATAGGAGTGACGTTCAAAACAGGAAGCAACCAGAATGGGCACCAGCCAACGAGAACTGAAACTTGCTGCACGCATCTGTGGGTGGTGGCCAAAGGCAGGCTGCTTTCCTACCAGATGCTGAGGCGGGAGAGGGGCTGGCTGAGTTCACCAGGCCAGCAGACTAGAGGAGGGGCTATCCCAGGACTGGACATCACATTACTCTCAGATATCTACTGCCTAAAAAGGAAATTTCAATACCGTCCCCATATTACAAAGAATAGGATTAAAAAGTTTTCTCCATGTTCGGATTTGTAAGAATCACTTTGTCCTCCTTGATCTTTTATGAATTAGTTTGTGGGAGATGTGGAGTAAACCTGCCTTCCTACAGGACCATGTGCAAGGCGTCTTATTTCTAGTTGAAAACAACCCACATTGTGGAACTGTGGCATTCTTCCAGTTGGTAGGTAGCCCCTGTCCCTCCCACCGGCTTTCCCATTCATATTGGCTCCTGTCGTCACAGAGTACTTACAGAGAAAACTAGGTACTCTAAGGCCTTTGCTCTTCCATTAAAAATTTTGTTTCTTTTTTTCTCCTTTTATTTGAAAGGCAGAGAGCCACAGAGACAAATGGAGACAGATCTTCTACCTGCTGGTTCACTTCCCAAATGCCTGCAACAGCCAGGGCTTCCCCAGGGCAAAGCCAGGAGCCTGGAACTCAATCCAGGTCTCCTACATGGATGGCAGCGACCAACGACTTGGGCCACCTCTTCTCAGGGCGTGCATTAGCAGAAAACTGGACTGGAAGCAGAGCCAGAACCTGGCCCCAGGCTCTCTGTTATGGGATGTGTGCATCCCAAGTGGTACTTTATCCCCTGCACAAAATGCCCACCACCCTCCCCCTTTACTTACATCACCGATAGCTCAATAAGCATAGCAGCATTTAGCTATTTGCCTCATTAAACGGGCCAAGTGGTGCACCACATGCTTTATAGTGAAACTGCTTGTGTATTTTCTCTAACAGCCCTGTAAGGCAGGTGTACTTATATCGTCATCTCACTGGCGCAGAAGTCGAGATCCTGAGTTAAGAACTGCCCAAGGCCATCCCGTTTGGTGGTGCAGCCACCCTTGAGGTATGGCATTTTGTGGGAAAAGTTATCCCGTGACACAGTGGTTAAGAACGCAGACCCCAGACTCAGATGCTGAGTGGAGGCCGGCAGGTGACTACACTCTGTGGTGAGGTGTTTGCAAAGGACACGTTTACCTGTTTCTGGGGCCGGGTGTTCTCCTCGACTGCTCTTTGACTCAAAAATATAGTTCTCCTCTTTTCTCTTCTTCCCTGAAGAACTCCTGTCTGCAGAAGATAAGCAGAGCACACACTGAAGGCACATCAGAAACTCCGGGAGGCAGACCTGAAGCTATGACTATTTTTATTATTTTTATTTGTTCTTGATACTTACCTTACTTGGTTTTTAAAGATGGACTTAAAGGGCTTATAGGATTTATTTCTCTGATAAACATCAGGCCCATGTTTGATACTAATGCACTGGGTAGCTAAGGTGACAAATTGAGAGAGAGCAGATTTGTGGCTAACACAAAACCACCAGACAGAAAGGGGAGAAGTGCCCTGTGCCAGAACTATACCACCTCCAGCCCTGGAGAGGCAGAGAAGACCTCGGGCCACACAGACCACGGTGGTCTCGGGACCTCACGCCCTGGGAAGCAGAGAGAGTGAGGAAGGGATTTTCTTTGAAAAATGAGCAATGAGCATTTAGCCATGCTGTGCACTTCCTTCCCACCACCTACCAGGCAGCTACTATGAGCTCAGATTTTTCTACTTAGGCTCAGGATCCAGTTCTCTCTCAGGCTCATAGAGTAATAAGTGGTTCACAGGGCTAGGAGTCTAAGTGCGTCTACCTGTTTGCTGATGAAAACCAGCATGTCTGGTTTAATGCTATATTTGTTTAGCCTATACAGTTATCCTATACTACTCAGGGAAAATATTAGAAAGATCAAATCTCAGGTTTTTCTCCCCAGATGCTGATGAGCTGTGGTTGTGCCACTTGGTCATCTCCCATTTAGAATTTTACACCATTTCTGTCTATTACACGGACATAATACTGAATGGGGTGGGGGTGCAGTTACTCCTGTGCAGTGGTGTGATTTCAAGTCAGACTTTTGTAACACTTACTGGCAATGAATTGGAAATGATCTACTGACGAGGAATTTTATTGAAACACAATTTTTAAAGCTTTTTTACTCATAGGGCATCAACAGAAATACTTGTAATTTCTGCAACTGAAGTGAGACTATCCTAAAGGCAGTTGTCTAAAATTCTTTGATAACTTGTCCTGAGAATTTTCGGGGATTCATTATCACAAAGCCACTGCGTGACGGAAGACCGTGAAGTTAGTCTGGGTGTCACAGTCAGAAATCAGTGCTTGAGGAGGATCGCTGCTGACACACGTTAATGCTGTTAATCAGGAGGCAAGGGCAGGACAGTGATTTTCCTCCGGCCTCCCCAGCGCTCCTCCTCACTCAGCGCGGTCCCCGCCCGTCAGCACAGCACGCAGCCCGTGGCCTGTGTGTGCGTGCTCTGATAGGCCCCTCTTCCCTGTGCTCACTGTCACCGCCTTGCGCGTCCCCATCCTGGGCTGGAGCGCGATGACCCCCCCACCCCGCACTGCTGTGCTGTCAGCCATTCCCACCACGGTGCACGGCGTCTGCAAAGGCCGCTCATCCAGCAGGCAGGGAGTCTGCGTTAGCTTCTCGTGGCCAAGCCACGGCAGACTCCCATCCCCCGTGCCTCGCCTTGCGACTCTGTGAGAAGCCACACACAACGGCCTCTGATGAGTCAACCGTTTGGGATTTCCTCCATAAATCCTGAGCTCAGATAGAGCAAGACAGACGTGAGGCAAGCATTTGGTGCGTGGCTAAGGCACCACTTGGGATGCCTGCATGCCGTCTCAGAGTCCCAGCTCCACTCTGCAGTCCAGCTTCCTGTGAATGCGCCCCCTGGAAGGCAGCAGATGATGGCTGGAGTACTTGGGTCCCTGCCACCTAAGGGAGACCTGGACTGAGTTCCCTGCTCTTGGAGCGAAGGGGCAGATGGGGGAGCTCTCCCCTACCTTCCCCCCTTACCAATAAATGTATAGGTTTTGTTTTTCCAACCTAAAAATGATCAATTCTGTTATTGCTGCCCTTTTAGGATTTTTAAAAATGTATTCATTTGGAAGGTAGGGAAGCAGAGAGGGCTCCTATGCTCTGGGTCACAGTCTCCAAGTCCCCACAACCTCCCAGCTGAATCCAGGAGCCAGGACCTCAATCCATGTCCCCAGGCGGGTGACAGGAACCCAGCAGGAAGTTGAAGTGAGGAGCTGGAGCTGGGTATTGAACCCAGACTCTCAGATGTGGAACGCAGGCACCCTAACCAATGTGCTAACTTCTCGAATAAACATAAGCCCTCTTGCTGCCCTCTTGGCCTAGCCCTGTCTACTATGCCTGGGGAGAATTTCAGGTTCTTTTTTTATTATTATTATTTTTATTTTTTGACAGGCAGAGTGGACAGTGAGAGAGAGAGAGACAGAGAGAAAGATCTTCCTTTTGCCGTTGGTTCACCCTCCAATGGCTGCCGTGGCCGGTGCGCTGAGGCCAGCGCATCGCGCTGATCCGAAGCCAGGAGCCAGGTGCTTCTCCTGGTTTTCCATGAGGGTGCAGGGCCCAAGCACTTGGGCCATCCTCCACTGCACTCCCAGGCCATAGCAGAGAGCTGGCCTGGAAGAGGGGCAACCGGGACAGAATCCGGCACCCCAACTGGGACTAGAACCCGGTGTGCCAGCGCCACAAGGCGAAGGATTAGCCTATTGAGCCACGGCGCCGGCCAAATTTCAGGTTCTCTTGATTGCTCTCCATTCTCTACAAGGGACAGCTGAGTACCCTGGCTAATTTTCATTGCCAACTCCATTTGCCCAGGCAATGAATTAAAGTCCTTCTTTTCTACTTATTCAGACTCTCCTATTCTTCAGAGCAAGGGGGCTGGATTTCCAGGCCCCATGGCTAGGGCTGACCTGTCTGTCTAATAGGCAGAGTGGACCAAGAGCTGGGAATCCATGGTACTCCTGGGGGCCCACAGCAATGTTTTAAATCAAAATAACTAGGAAACAACGGACAGGATTAATAATCATAATGAATATATGATAGTGAATTCAACTTGGATTGCATTTATATCAACACAGTTATAAAACAGAATTTTCTGTTACTGTTTTTCCCATGGAGGAGGGGCCCCTGAGAGTCACAATGCAGTCCTACACATGGGCTTGTCCTTCTGAAAGTGCCATGCACATAGGCACCCAGGGACGCTGTAGCTACTTCCTGTTTCTGTAGCTGAGAAAGAAGATCCTCGAACACACAAGAGGTTTGTTGCTGGGGTTGGTACCATCCTGCTAAGTCTAAGGCTGGTTTCACCACTGACTAGCTGTGCCATCGCTTCATTTATTTATTTGAAAAGACAGAACAACAAAGTAAGGGAAAATGGGAGAAGGGAGAGGGAAGGGAGGGGGGGAGAGAGAGAGAGAGAGAGAGAGAGAATCTTCCATCCATTGGTTTATTCCCCAGACAGCTGTAACGGCCAAGGTTGGGCCAGGGCTAATCCAGGAGCCCAAAGCTCCATCTCGGTCTCCCATGTGGGTCGCAGGGTCCCAAGTACTTGGGCCAGCCTTCACTGTCTAGGAGGTCTAGGCTTTGGGGGGTGGGGAGAGATGTTGTTTAAAAAGCTGCACAAGTTCTGAATCTTTGTCAAAACTAAGGAGTATTTTCTTAAACTAAGGAGAGGAAGACGGGGATGAAGGGAGTGGGAGGGATCGGGTATTGGGGAAGGGAATCTGGTTAGCAGACCTCAGGAGGTACTGCAGCCATGAACCCCAGAATGACAGCTTGCCCTGCCTGGGTGTTTCAAAGGCGACTTTCTCTCGTGTACAATTCATGGAGGGATTCACTGTAACTTCCCAGCACTTGGAGCACACAGAGAACGGTTTCACTTCACAGCTCTCACCACTATGGGGAACCAGAACAAAACTGCAACATCACTAGCTCTTGCAATTATTTCTTTTTGGTGATGATCCTGCTAGAAGAGTTAATGTTGTAGGAAATCATTTGCTTCTTTTCTGGATGACCTACTGTATTTACCATGCGTAAATTAGCCACATGTTGACACAGGGTCCGGGCAGCTGGATGGAGGCTTTTTTAATTACCAAAGAATATTCAGGCATGTTCTGGGAGAAAGCTGGAAACACCAGCTGGGAAAGGGGCTACCATAGGGGCTGGCCTTCCAGAATGTTCTGTAGCTTCCTCTGGCTTAGCCAACACAGGCACCAGCTTTGTCCCTTCCTGCTGTTCAGTGGCAAGTCAGACCACATGTCTGCAAAGCAGGTAAGAGGAAGCTCCTTCAGGAACCATTTGTGTTGTACTAGGACAAGATCACAGCCAGCCTGTGGAACTCGGCCTGCACATCTGCTTCCAGGAAAATGTTATTTAGGCTGCACTATAAGCACAAAACTCCTCAATGACATTGTACTTGCTGATTTGCAGATTGTAGCACCAATAACTTTTGAAAAAAAGCTCTACAACTTGTCTAGGATTAATTAAAAAGAATTCAAGTAAAATTCATTTTATTATTAGCCTTTCTCCATTGGTGAAGGGGGGATAATAAAAATATCACTGCTTACACACACACCTGTACTTGCCTGCAGGGTAATGTTTAAACCTGTTGGAATGCTGGTGGTATTCAACTAATTTCTAGATTTTATTTAAAATCAAGTGGTTCCTTGAGACCAACCCACATGTGGGTCAGGGGTTACAAATAGAATTCATTATGTAGACCATCTATAGATTTCAAACAATAAAAATTATGTAGCCTTCCAGTACAGTACCCCAAACTTTCAGACTAAATGAATCCTTGTAGAACACAGAAGATGCCTTTTCTAAGAGTGCCACTCCCGCAGGTGCCCCAGAATAACGGGGTACACCTAAAAAGCACCTGCTGATGGGGCTGGCACTGCGGCTCAGCAGGTTAAAGCTGTGGCCTGTGGTGCCAGCATCCCATATGGGAGCCGGTTAGAGCTCCGGCTGCTCTACTTCCAATCCAGCTCCCTACTAATGCGCCTGGGAAGGCAGCAGAGGACGGCCAAAGTCCTTGGGCCCCTGTACCCATGAGGGAGACCAGAAAAAGCTCCTGGCTTCAGTATGGCCCAGCTCCAGCTGTTGTGGCCATTTGGGGAGTGAACCAGCAGATAGAAGATCTCTCTCTGTAACTCTGACTCTCACACAAACAAATAAATCTTAAAAACAAACAAACAA